TTTCATCTACACTTACCTCTGGGTCCTTACAGCCTCCTCTTTAAGGGCATCTGCCAGCTGTGTTGAGAGTCTAGCAAAGAGGCTCCTTTGATACTACATGAGACCCCGGCCTTCCAAAAGACAGATGCCCTGATTGGAGTGATGGCTCATCTGGTCTGAACAATTTGTCTCTCTAAAGAATCGTTGGCCCAAATCAAACTACATAAAAATGCATTCCTATAATTCCAGTGCAGAAGACTTAGTGACCCAGGTAGTAAGTTCGAAGTTTCTATTTAAAAACGGAAAACAGCATGTTGACCATCCTTGAAACACCATATTAAAACCCTTTAAAAAACTTAACAAGATATGTAAAAGTCCCAAAGAAATGACATGTTTAGAAGACCTCAGAGGTCACCTTAATTTTCTCATGTTTCTGTAATTCCATTTTGTAAAAAGGTAGGGCATTAATTAATCAGTCTGTGGTAATAGGAGTTATCTAGACCTTGCCACTCAGAGTGACCTATGGACTAGCAAATCAGCATCTCCTAGGAGCTTGTCAGAAATGCAGAGTCTCCATCCCCATCTCCCAGACCTGCTGGATCCAAACCTGCACATTTAACAGGTTCTCAGGTGACCCCTGTGTACATTGAAATCGAAGAAGCACTGATCTAAAAGAGTTCTCAAACTATCTGTGCTGAAGAAGGATAGCTTGGTGGTTTTTCCCCCTTTAATCTGTTGTGGATTGATGCATTTGAAAATGCAATGAAATTAAATTATAAGAATAATGAAATAAAAAGGCAGAGACATAGAAATATAAAATACAAACCCAAACTTTTATTATTAGATTCTAAAGACATGGAATTACTCAGTTAAATTGCTATGAAAGTGTCTAAATGATGCACACTAGCTGTTTCTCTGGATTCCTCAACATTAACCAATAACAGGTTTATGGATGGTCAATACACAGTGGACCACACTTTGATTAGCCCTGTTCTAGTTTATTGTCATTTTACAGAGGGGAAAACAGAGGCCCAGACAAACAATGTCCTCAAGGCAACACAGCTGATTAATGAAAGACACAGTATTGAATTTTACATCTCCAGAACTGTTCCTGATATACCTTATTAACCTAATAAAAATTTTAAATACTTATAGAGAACATGATTAAGGTCAGGTATAATGTTTTACAAGGATTATCTTGCAGTCACTTCACATACTTGTCATTGAGATTCTGTCAATGCCCTTATTTTATGGTTGAGGAAACTGAAGTTTAGAGAGGTTAATACCTGGACCAAGTCCCCTTGGGTAAATAAGTGATGAAGCTGGGGTTTGGACTCAAGTTTAACCACAAAGTAAACATGTTTATACCAGTCAGAGTTCTCCAGAGAAACAGAAACAATAGGAGGTGTGTGTGTGTGTGTGTGTGTGTGTGTGTGTGTGTGTGTGTGTGTCTTAAGGAGATTTATTATAAGAAAACGACTCACTCAATTATGCAGGTAGGCAAGTCCCCAGGTCTGCAGGGAGTCAAAGGCTGAAGACCTAGGAGAACCATGTTTAGTTCCAGTTTGAGTCTGAAAGCCTGAGAACCAAGAGGGCCAATGGTGTAGTTCCATTCAAAGGCTGGCAGGCTTGAGACCCTGGAAGAGCCAGTGCTTCAGTTTGAGTCCAAAGGCAGGAAAAAAGCTGATGTTCCATCCAAAGACAGGCAGACAAGAACTCACTCTTACTCACGGAAGGGTCAGCTTTTCTGTTCTATGCAGGCTTTCAACTGATTGAATGAGGCCCACTGACCTCAGGAAGAGCAATCTGTTCAACTCAGGCTACCAATTCAAACCTTAATTTTATCAAAAAAACATCCTCACAGACACACCCAGAGTAATGTTTGACCAAATATTTGGGCAACCTGTGACCCAGCCAAGTTGACACATAAAATTAACCATCACAGTGTTTAACCACTACCCTACTCTACCTCCTGTCTCTACTCTGTTCATGAATTATTAATTGTGGGTACAAAAGCATCAGTTACACAAATCCCACAGACCTAGGGCTGCAGGCAATCTATTTTACACTAAAATAATATGCTGACCCAAAGTCCCTCGGGGCATCTGCAATTAAGCAAAGTTTTCTGCCACTTTATAGCAAGGAACATTTTCCTGCCAATATTCAATAACATAACCCTCATTTGCATTGAGACCTCACCAGAAGCACCTTTAACATTCATGTCTGTAGCGACAATCTGTTCTTGACAATAAATGTATTCTCTAAGCTAAGAGCTTTCTCTACAGATCTACTCACTTCTTCCCGAGTCTTCATCAAAATTGCCTTAATGTCTACTTCAACCAACAGTCTTCTATCACATACCTTAAAATTCTTCCAGCTGCTACTGCTATCCAATTTCAAAACACTTCCACATTTTGAGGCATTTATTAATAGCAGCATGTTGCTTTCAGCACCAAAATCTCTATCAGTCATGGTCCCCCTTTTATTTCAAGGAGCTGGCATATCCAAAATTCATGTGGCCAGTGGACTGGAAACCCAAGTAAGAGCTGATGTTGCTGTCTTGTCTTGAGTCCAAAATTTTTCAGGTAGGCAAGCAGGCTGGAAATGCTTGTAGGAGGTAAAGCTACAGTCTTGAGGCCACATTTTTTCTTCTCTGGAAACCTCAGATTTTGCTCTTAAGGCCTTCAACTGATTAGGTGAGGCCCACTGTGTATCAGGGCTTCACCTGTGGCTCAGCTGGTAAAGAATCCACCTGCAATGCAGGAGACTGGATTCAATCCCTGGGTCAGAAAGATCCCCTGGAGAAGAGACAGCCCACCCACTCCAGTATTCTGGCCTGGAGAATTCCATGGACTGTATAGTCCATGGAGTTGCAAAGAGTTGTACATGACTGAGTGACTCTCACTTTCACTGTGTTATTAAGTGTGATCAACTTTATTTAAAGTCAATTGATTATGGATATTAACAACATCTACAAAGTACCTCCACAACAACACCTGGATCATTGTATTTCTTTTTTGCCAGAGCATTTAACATCCCCTAACACATCAGATACAGGCTTCCCTTGTGGCTCAGGGGTAAAGAATCCTCCTGCAATGCAGGAGACACAGGAGATGTGGGTTTGATCTCTGAGTTGGGAAGAACCCCTGGAGAAGGAAATGGCAACTCACTCCAGTATTCCTGCCTGGGAAATTCCACAGACGGAGGAGTCTTCGAGGCTAGTCCATGGCATTGCAAGAATCCGATACAACTGAGCGACTGAACAATGACAACATATCAGATAATTTATTTCTTTATTATGCTATTTATTGTATGCCCCTCTCCTTTGAATTTATAAAAGTAAGGAATCTTTTCTGTTTTGTTCACTGATGTGGCTTAAATACCTAGAATGGTGTCCGACATTCAATAAATATGAATCGAATGAATGAATCCAGGTTTTGCCACTTAATAAAAAGCAACAGCTAATGGATGAATTATTTAACTTCACTGAACAATTAAAAGCAAGAAAATGAGCAAAAATCTGTCTCTTAAGATTGTCATAGGACTAAAGGAAATAATGTTTGTGAAGTGTCTGGAATACAGAGAGCATTTGATAAGTGGTATTGTTGACTGTCGTCTCTTCCTGTTGTTCATTCAACAAATAGGGGATTATAAGTAGGGGCTTACAAAGCCCCTCCTGTGCATCAAGCACTGGTCACTGAAGGTATCACAGAGTGTAAAAGAGTCCCTGACCTCTTGAGACTTACTTTCTAGTGTGAACAAATGTCCTGCCCTAGATAGCTAGCTACTACAGTTTTATCCTATAAACCCATGACTTGTATTCTACAAACCCATGGCTCTATTTCATACCCAGGCTCGTGGACAAGGTCGTGCCTCAAGGACATGATGGGCATCTATTTCAAAGCTCAGCACTTCTTCACTCTCGGATGCTTTGCTACACAGATCTTGCTTCCCTGGGCAGTTGGGATGTGTATACTTGGGCTTCACAATGACAGAACTACCCTGAAGGGTCAGGGTAATTAGCATCATGCCTGAAGCTTCCTTGAGAGTGGGCTTATTTCACATGTGACTTAAAAAAAAAACAGATGAAATATCATTAGGGTGGGATGAAAGAGAAATTTGCAGGTCAGTCTAGTCTGAAAGATGTTGATTTTATTACAATTACTGCTCTAAGGAAGATGATAACGACCATTAACTACAGGCTGAACAGACTTTTGATGCTTTCTATAATGCCACCCCCCACCCCAAACACAGGGGCAGATGCAGATGTCTGGTTGTGGGGATGTGGGTGAACCCTGAGGACTTACAGAGCACGGCCAGGCATCCCCACAGCAGGGATTCTCAACCTCGCCTGCACTTTAGAATCACCTGGAGAGCTTTTAAAATTCTGGATGTTCGGGCTGCAAGTAAATCACAATCTCTGGGGGTGGGATTCAGGCCTCTGTCCTTTTTAAAGCTTCCTGGAACTCTCAACATCTGGTTGAGATTTAGAACTACACCCTTCAAGGCTCTAGTTCCTGCTAAGACCAGGGCTTATAAAACTTTAAGAGTACCCAAGTCACCCAGGGATTTGCTAATGGCACAGACTCTGGTTCAGTAGCTCTGGTGCTGAGACTCGATATTTCCAAAAAGTTCCCAAGTAGATGCTGAGGCTGCTAGTCAGCATTTACATTTTCAGTAGCAAGACTCTAGTCAGTTCTAATCCAAAGCAGACCCTGGAGGGTAGTTCTGTAACTAATCGAGGAGCTCGTGTTGACTCTGGAGAGAGTGTGGGATGGTTCCAAAAGTTATAAAGAAATCTAAAAGCCTTCTTAAACCACATCTATTGCCCTGAAGTCTGCAAGCTGGTTTAGTGCTGAAGTAGTGCAAAGTAATGATCAAAAATGTGAAACCTGGAGTTAAACTATATGTGAATTCAAACCCTGTTTCCCATCTCCAGCTGTGCATGTGTGAGCATGCTAGGTTGATTCAGTCATGTCTGATTCTTTGTGGCCTTACGGGCCATAGCCGGCCAGGCTCCTCTATCCATGGAAGAATACTGGAGTGGGTTGCCATTTCCTCCTCCAGGGGATCTTCCTGACCAAGGGATTGAACCTGCATCTCTTATGTCTCCTGCATTGACAGGTGGGTTCTTTACCACCAGTGCCACTTGGGAAGACCCCTGCAGCTGTGTGCTGTGCTATGCTTAGTCGCTCACTCTTTGAGACCCCATGGACTGTAGCCTGCCAGGCTCCTCTGTCCATGGGGATCCTCCAGGCAAGAATGCTGGAGTGGGTTGCTGTGCCCTCCTCCTGGGGATCTTCCGAACCCAGGGATCGAATTGAGGTCTCCCACATTATAGATGGATTCTTTACCAGCTGAGCTACAGACTGTAACAAATCACCTAACATTTCCATGCCTCGATTTCTCCATCTGGAAAATGAGCATGTTAGCAACACCTACCTTATATCCTTGTTATAAAGATTAAATGAATTAATACAGATAAGACACCAAGAACAGTGCCTGGAAAATAGTAAGTGCTCATTAACTGTTAGGTGTGTACTTATTAGAGTAGAAAGGTATAGGTTTGGGGATCAAGGCAGACATGAGTTCAAGTCCTAGCTTAGCTACATAACAATTATGTGACACTGAGTAAGCAATCTATCTCCTCTGAGCCTCAGTTTTATCATCTATATGTGACAATAATGCCTATTCCACAGATTCATTTTAAAGGTCAAAATGATATGTGTAAAGCACATGGCACATAGTAGGTTTGAATGTTTGTGCCTCTCAAAATTCATATGTTGAAATGCTAACCTCTGGTGTGATAGCATTAGGAGGTGGGGTCTTTGGTCAGAAGAGTGGGGCCCTCGTGAATGGGGTTAGTGCTCTTTTTATAAAAGAGACCCCAGAGAGCTCCCTGGCCCCTTCCACTCTGTGAGGACACAATGAGAAGTTTTTAACCTGGAAGAGGGCCCTCACTCAACCAGGCTGGTGCTCTGATCTTGGACTTCTGGATTCCAAAACTGAGAGAAATAAATATCTGCTGTCCACAAGCCCCCTCAGCCTGCAGAATACTGTTCTGACAGCTGAGCAGACTCAGACCGCAGGCATCACTGAGCAGCGGGCGCTGGGGACGGCTCAGGCCTGGAGATACTTCATGGTGGGGCTTCTGCTGTGGGACTCACTTTTAGGGCGACCACCTCTCAGGGTCTCCATTTCTTCATCAGCAGACTCGAGATGAGGAGAAGGCGATGGCACCCCACTCCAGTACTCTTGCCTGGAAAATCCCACAGACGGAGGAGCCTGGTGGGCTGCAGTCCACGGGGTCGCTAAGAGTCGGACACGACTTCACTTTCACTTTCACTTTTCACTTTCATGCATTGGAGAAGGAAATGGCAGCCCACTCCAGTGTTCTTGCCTGGAGAAACCCAGAGACTGGAGAGCCTGGTGGGCTGCCGGCTCTGGGGTTGCAGAGTCGGATATGACTGAAGCGACTTAGCAGCAGCAGCAGCAGCAGAATCGAGATGCCAGCAATGCAGCTAGGAGGAGACATGAGTACGTGTGAAAGGGTTTAATCAGTGGCAGAGTTAACAACTGCAAATATAAGGTTGTAATGTGGTAAAGGTATTTCTCCCCAAACCTCCACCCCAGAGAGAACAGAAAGTGAGACTCATGTCCTGGCACCCACCAAACACTTTCTGAAAGTCCAGCTTTCAATAATGTGGGAAGTTGACGCAGGTCACATCTCACTTGCCACTTAAGCCTGACGACACTGTGAAAGAAATGTCATCTCTCACTAAAAACAAAAACCCCTCCTGCCTTGTCTGTGCGAGTTTCTCTCTGACAAAGCTCCTCCCTTCCCCTCTGCAGCGTTCGGTGGCACTCTTAGCCAGTACCGCTCCAAACAACCCAAGTCCATTAAGGCAGGAGGAGGCTGTGTGCTTAATGGGTGTTGAGAAGCAAACTGGGTAATGTGTTCTAGAGGGAACCCCCAGGGGGGCGAGGTGGCACCCAGGGCTGCCAGGCCACTTGTCTCAGCTAATAAAACCTCCCCCCAGCCACCCCCCGCGCCCAGCTCCTAAGTGCCATCTGGCACCCGCATCTTGAGGTCTGCCGCTTCTGTTTGTGCTCCAGACAGCTACAGCTCACTTCCATGTGGCAGCATGAGTGTATTGACATTTATCATTGGATTCCACTTTCCAGAACAGAGAGAGACAGGCCTGGCAGGCATGGAGGGCGTACTTCGCTGCAGGATCCCACCCAGCCGCTGACACTGGGGATTACTTCCCTGTTCTGTCACCCTTTGGCACAGTTACCTCTGCTCTGTGCTAATGACAATCACTGGCTTGTGCTTCAGATAAGGAGAAGACGGGGTGGTTCGAACATCTCTACACTCCATGCAAGCTTCTCTCTCTAAGACAAAAGGATGCAATTTTTGTAAATGTAATTCGTGTTTCAAGAAACGCCACAAACATGTATATATGTGTGCATGTGTGTGTGTGTATACATTAATATCTACATGTATACCCATATATGTGTGTGCATCTCTATTTCTATATATCTACATTTCTATATCTATCCCCATATGTTCCTGTTAAAAATTCTGTGGCATTCTTTGAGTATGTATCTGTGCATGTGTCAGCATGTTCTCATATGAATGTCTGTGTGGATAAACAGCATATAAAAATACAGGTTATTTTCCCACAAACTGCATCCTGGTACTGCATTAAGCAACAGACTCAGTTTCCACTGCAGTATTAAGACTCAGCTCTTTGTTCCCCAGTCCCCACTGAAGGGCTAAAAATCTGCTCAAACAGCCAAAATGTTTTCCCTCTCCATTTAAACTCATTGTAGTCCTGTTTGTGAGAGTCTCAAATGAGATTTTAGCTAAAAAAAAAAAAAAAAAAGAAACAAACAAACAAACAAAAAAGCTTGACTCAACTTTTGCAGCCACTGCAAATGTAATGTTATAAAGGTATTTCTTCCCAAACCTCCACCCCAGAGAGAACAGAAAGTGAGACTCATGCCCCGGCACCCACCAAACACTACATAAGCCAGAAAGTTCCCTCAAATCACCTCATTTGTTCAGGTGTTAGCCATTGTTCCTAGTCTTTTTTTTTTTTCCCACCACATACCATTGTTTTGAAAGCGAGCCTGTGGTCAAAACAATGCATCTTCTATAACTGGGATTGTCAAAGAATGAATCTCACCCATGTTATCAGGGGCTCTCATTTGCTGTGATCTCATAGTCAAATAATAAGCCTTGGAAGTAGCCAGTGAATCACACTGCCTTGGTGGCAGGGTGATGACGACAGCTGTGACATCTGGCATCTACTAAGATAGGAGACCAAGGAGGAAACGTCTGTGGGTGAACAGGAGTTTACTAGAGAAAGGAAAGAAAAGGACTTTATCAGTGGGGAAGAATGGACGTGGTTTTCTGTAATGCCTACCGTGTCTCAAACAATTTAGTCATTCAATAAATATTATCCGAGTTGAATTGAAAGATCTCTATCAACCTAAACAAAGGGAAAGACAGAATTCAAATTTCCATTAAGGAGGTACACTTGCAAGGAAGGATAATGAGGCAGAATTGTGTCCAAATATGCTTGACTTTGGATTGACCTTCCTGTCCCAGATACTGAGGATGAGCCGGCAAGAGTCTTCTGTGAAGCAGGAAGACAAAGGATCGTAGAAATTAAGAGCTGGAAGGAAATCAGATGCGGTGCCTTGAGCCCAGGATATGAGTAACTCCCAAGAACAAGGCAGATGGCTCCCACCCCAGGGCTTTTTGACTTGAAACCATCTTGGCCTCCCTGTGCTGATATGTGTCTGTGTCTTCTGAGGGCTTAAAAATGGTGGCCAAGACCTTCTTGCCAGAGGTCAATCAGTTCACTTAAGAGAAAAAGCCAAATGGAAGCAGTCACGTTCTCGCCTTGAAAACAGAAATAAAGGGTCAGAAGAAATCTCCACGAGTCATTTGAGGCAAGAACTCTTTAGTGCTAATAGTAAGAGGCGTGGTCTGGGGAAACGAACATGATCAGATCCCACTGGGAGGAGACTACACTGGTAAGATATTTCTGAAGGACAGCATAGCAATAGGTATGAAAAGCCTTCAAATTTTGCATATCCTTTGACCCAGCTAGACTATAATTGACCCAATTATAGGATTTTATTCATAGGGAATAAACTAACAGGGCTTTGCACAAGGCTATAACTAAAATAGTATTAATTCTGCTGTTGCTTCTAACAGTGAAAAATGGAAACAATTTAAATTTTCTCTTACAAGGGTTGGATGAATAATTAGTACATAGACAAACCAAAATCTTAAGCCATAATTAAGTTGCTGTATAAAAATATTAATTAGCAGTGAACTGTCCACGCTATGTAATTCAATTTTTTTTAAGTTATAAAACTACACATCTGGTGTGATCCCATTTTCATACAATGCATGGGTAGAAGTACACACACCTAAAGACTGAGGGTGATTATCTCTAGATGGAGGGATAATGTATGACTCTCATTTTCTTCTTTATATTTATTTTTAATGTCTGAATTTTTTATAAACATGTATTATTTTAATTATGTTTAAGATGAGTAAATGGTAAATCATCTGTTTCTGAAAACTTTGTAGCTGATTGCCTTATTCTTTGGGGTGGAGATGGGGGTTGGGGAGGAGGAGAATAAGTAGAGATCAAAATCACCTTTTAAAATTAGTATTATTGTACATTATAATATTATATATAACATAATATTGTATTTTATTGTATATAATATACCATGTATAATAATGACACCCTTTCTCCTATCTAACGCAGTGTCCTTTATGGGTTTTGTTTGCTTTGCTGCACTTTCTCAGCCTTCTTTGCTGTCCAATTTTCATTCCCCTTGATCAAGATCTTGTACCACTGGGCTATCCCGTGACTCGGTTCTTGGGCCCTTCTTTTTTCCCATCCACACTCACTTTGCTGCCGGTCTCATCCAACCTCAAGGTTTTAAATAAAATCTCTATGCTAATACCTCCCTAATTTATATCTCTATCCCTGGATTCCCCTGCCTCCCCCTGCCCCAAGAACTCCAGGCTCATAGATTTCCCTCCCTACTCAGCATCTTTACTTGGATGTCTAGCTTAACAAGTCAAAAAAGCAAGTTCCTGCTCTTAGCTGCCAAATCTGCTTTTCCTCAGTCATCACGTCAAATAATGGCAACACCATTCTTCCAATGGCTGAGGACAAAAATTCAGTGTCATCCTCAATTCATCTGTTTCTCTTATACTGTGTATTTAATCCATCAAGAAATCCTGTTCACTCTGCCTTCAAAATGTATTCATGTTCTGACCACTTCTTATCCTCTGTGTGGCTGTTACCCTAGTAAAAACCACTATTATCTCTTGCCTGGATCCTGGCTAACTGGTTTG